TTTTTTCTACAGAATATCTTCTCTATGAATTCGTTCATTAATTAACTACAAAACTATGTCGAATAGTGTTCATATAAGAGAAAAAAAACCTAATACATACGCTATTTGCTCCTGGTAAGTACACTGTTAAGTGATCCGGTTTATCCTGTAATGAAATTTTTAGTAAAGATTGAAATGAATCATTAATTCTCTTCTTTTGATGATATTTACATAGAATACATTCTGAAATTTTCTGCTTGACTTTAAATGTAATGAATATTATCAAAAAAACCAATACTCTTTAAGTCATACTTATAAATGATCGTTATCATAAATCTCTTAGTAGTAGTAAACCTTAAGCATAAATGGATATGTGAATAATGACTTATCACAGATGTTCAACAGAGAGTAGACACAAATACTTTTTTCTGATTTCTACTATACGACTTTTCGCACTACTATAGATCTGCAGTCATACGGTGTAACTGTTGATGAACCCTATGATTGCATATTTATGAAATAGCGAAAATGTATTAAACCTATCACAAGAAAATATTTGCATTTAGTCTCTGATCTCCGAATTCTTTTATTTCATGATGCCAACTCAAACTTAAATAAGTTTATTCAAATCATTACCGAGATGATCCGATATAAGTCTATGTGACTTAGTTTTTGAATACACAAGAATGCGCCTCTAATGATTTGTTCAAACATCTGATAAGTAAAGTTTTAGATTTGTTGTATGAATAATTCGTTATATCGTTCATTCGTTATTATTATTTATCATAAGTTTAAATAGACAAGCAAGGAATAAGATCATGCATAGAGCATAGCCAAATTACAAACCAAATACGTGATTATGATTAAAACATTACACTTACTGTTGAATAAGTTGGAGGTGGTTTTTCAAACTATTAAAATTAGGTGAAGTTTTTATAAGTAAAACAAAAAGAAATTTCTTTTTTTTTAATCTACGAAAATTTTTTGTTTTTCTTCAATTAAATAACAATAAATATTTACCTCCGGTGCACTTGGTTGATTTAAATGAATATTTGGTGAATCAGCATATTTTCCTCCACTTCCGTGACCACCTGCTGAGGGAGCACCTCCACTTGATGGTGGTGGAGGTGGTCCTTTTACATCATTAACATTTGAATTTTGAATATATCGTTGTCCAATAGTCCAAAATTCATCTTGTGCCATAATTGTTGGATCAGGTTCAAATGGAACATTTTGACTTCGACATATTTCAACTAAATATTTTTCAATAAGTAATTTCGGTATAAGATCACAACTTAAACATCTTAATAAATCAACATCAACCAAACTAAGTTTATTTTGTTCACACATAGATACATATCTAAATAAATAAATAAATAAAAAAACAAAAAAAAA